ACGGTCCAAGAAAACTAGGGTTACACAGGTTCGACAGCATTCAGCCGCCCCAGATTCATAGGGTTTTCACTCGGCACATGACCAAGGAGAGTAAAGAAGAGAAAAAATAGGGAGAACTGTACCAGTTGTAGCTATTCTGTAGTCCAGAATAAGATTTCTTTTCTGCTAGTCTGTTCGATCTGTTCTTTGGGTTGATCGATCTTCTCTTGACAGTAGGGTTGATCGATCTGCTCTCTTTTACTCAGCATTCCCGCTCTGATACCATCTTGACAGTGTAGCCGGCCAGAGATAAGTGGAAGAGGAGAGAAGAGAAGAAAAGAAGAAGAGAAGAGAAGAGAGGAGAGAAGAGAGAAGGTTTGCAATGTAACAGTACTGGCGGCGCCAGTGTTTATTTTACTATATATAGKRCGACAKAAAWWACAAGGGAAAAGACCCTTGTGCCCCTGAGTACAATAACAGAGATAACAGAAATAAAAAAACGAAATAAAAAAAAAACACCAAACAGGCCCTAACATCTGCAACTAAGTTATTTTAACATTATTCCGACAAGGAGGATGATTAGAAATGGCTGTAAAGTTAATGGAGTTTATCTTCTAGACTAGTTAGCCCAGAAATCCCTGACAGGTTCATCTTAGAGTCTTGGCGATCCTTTTCTATTGTGTGAAATATATCCTTATCATTTTTACCATGGTCATGCTTCCTTTTTGTCATTCAAAACATTGTAGAGATGCTTATCAAGTAACAAAAGCTGTATTCTACCATCTAGTGTTTTTCATTCTTTTTATGCTTTCTCAGTTTTTTATCAGGTTTTGTATACCATACAGATCTGGTCTATAGAGTTGAAGTCCAGTTTATACAATGACTAGGCTAATAAGTAAAATATGACCCTAATTGTCTTCCTTCTCAGCAACAATATCATTATGGTTTCTTCTAAACAAGTAAAAGCAGAAAGACTATCAACCTAAGAAGTTCATTAGAATGGGTTAAGAATGATACGAAGAGTAGTTAAAAAGCAGCAATTAACTCAGAAGGTACCCAAGGACTATTCTGCATCAAAGCTAGAGAGAAAACAATAACAACCATGGGAATCTTAATCTACACCAATTATAATAAGCATTGCACTGATTAAAAAGTAAACTGCAAGAATGAAATGAAAACCGACTAGATGGACAAAGTAGATTTAGAAAACAAGAATAAAATATTTATATTGGTAGACTTATCCCTATTTGATCCCTCAAAGTTTCACTGGGGAGGGTGTCAAAACATGTAAATGATATATAGTGCTGTAAGAATGACTAAACACTATATAAGTTACAGATGCAATTTTGTAAATGGTCATGAAAGACAACATACCCTTCCATCAGTCAGAAGAAGAGAAGCCTTCCTAAGATGCATGTCAAGAACAAAATTACCAAATGAAAATTCAGAAGTGCGTCCATCAGAAATTTTAAATTCAATATCATGGCAGAAGTAGAACATTTGATATGATAACCACACAACTAAACTTTCCATTTGAACCTCAAAGTTGGCATGCATAATGCCTGGCTGCATATAATTTATTTCTGCTGCCACATTAACTTGGCATAACTGGAAGAGAGATGAAGAGAAAACTTCTTTTCTCTCCATTGTCTCAAGAATTCCATTCATCTTATCCACATTAAAGTCCAATTTTACATGTCCACCACTTATAACAAATTGGCTCTTTCTACTGTGCAGAGTAACTGCTAGATATTTACAATATCCTGCTTGAAATGATGTTCTTTCTCCAGGTATATTAGAAGACAAGGTTCGATAAATCTCCTGTTGGACTTCAGCTTTCTCAGATCTACTCGGTACCTTTTCCTTGACCCATAGAGGAAAATGAATTGATAAGCCCATGTTCACAGATTTCACAATAAGATCAATAGGATCCCGCAGCATGGTTAGTGTTTCATTTTGTACTAATTCCGAAGAGTCTAAATTTAGATTCTCTGATGATTTCATCATGTTTGAAGCTCCAGTATGGTGTGCAGCTAATGAACAGAGAAAGGCAGTGACTTCACTCCAATCTGATGAGTGTAACCAAATGTCAAGAGAAGGCAGACCAACTACAAGCACATTTTCACCTTGGTCAGAGTTGGAGAAATGGATGTCAAGACCAGAATAAAATGAACCAGATGAAGTGCATTTCACTAAGATAACAGAACTATGGAATGAGTAGAGTATAAGATCAGAGAAATCAATATCAAAGGACAAGGGAACCCCATTTCTAAATGAGGCAGAGAATGTTAGTTGCATATCTGCTTTGGCAACCAGCTCTGACGAGAAAGAGTCCCGACCCCTAGAGCGACATAATTGTACTGATAGTGAATTGATACAACATCGAATATCCACGAATGTCACATTTGAACGGTCAATTATAACTGCACTCTGCTCTTTTAAACTCTTCTTGGTCTGCAAAAACTGCAATACACTATACGTGAAACATTCAGATTCTGTACCAACTGCAGATATCTGATTTGTCATGTTTAGAAGTGCTTCGATTCCATAGAACAAGTAACAATCTGCCACCAGAAAACACAAAAAATATGTATATATTTTCAAATGAAACTATCCACATAAAAAATAATTGAGACAATGATATTTACTGAGACATTTTCAAAAAATAAAATCCCACCTTCAGCAATAAGTTGACAACTGTGAATCTTGGTCATTACACATACTGGAACAGCACATTGCTCAGGTGATGTTGTACTTACACAAGGTATTCTAATCCACAAATCACCATCAAGTGATTTAATTAGGAGACATTTTCTTAGGTTTCCATCTTCACAAAGTTCTGGAGAAACATGCCGTTCATCCTCAATTAGTAGCAGTGATAAAGATAAATCCTGTCCAAATGCATTAAGAAGATGGACTCTGTCTGCAATTTTATCTGTAGAAGCCAAACACTCTTGAGGAATATTCTTAATACCATCTTCAGAACTGCTCCTTGGGATAAAAGTGCAGTACAGCTGTTGAAGTTCAAGTTGTAGAGAGTGGTGAACATTACTTTCCAAAGGTAAAATTAATGTGGAGCCAAGTATTTCAAACTTGCATATCATTCTACAAATTTTGCTTTCTATTTTGAAGTTGACATTTTCAGTGGCACCCCTTGTATTTCCAGCTGAACTCCAGTCAGGCAAAGAAAAGTAACCAATTAACATGGCCAGAAATTCAGACATTAAAACACAGCATACATGCTGAATGCTGATGCTTATTTTAATATCAGACAAAGCCCTGGCATTGACTTTTTTTAAACGAATATTAAGAACAGATGAAATATTTGGCAATGATGAATCCCACACAACCTCACGGAAATTTTGGTTACACCAGGATGAAGAAAGAACTAAACCCTCCACAGAACATAATATATCCCAACAATCAATCCCATGAAAAAAAAGTAAAGATTTAGAGACAGGCAATGTAATAGTACATAGAATACAAGAAGAATCGTGAAAATGTACTCTGATTCCATTAAGTTCCAAATCAACAGCAAACAAACCAGTACCACTAGAAATCCCAGATGTGGTAATTTCATGACCAATGGAAGGATACACAACTTTTGGTATGAGACAAATTTTAGACTTCTTTCTTATTCTGAACTTTGGTCGTCTGACATATTTTTTATCTCTCACAATGCTACAAACTCGAGACATCTCTGTGTTGCAGAGAGGATCAGAATTTCTAACTGTTACAAATGGAAAATGATCCAAAGGAATGCCTGGAGATGCCGCAAGTTCAGATTCACAGAAATTTGAAAATCCAAACCTCTGGAGTTCAAAGACAGACATTAGGAGGTCATCTTTAACTTCCTGATAGGGGCCAAAGGAGTTTTGTCCAGAAGAACCAGATGAAGTACCATATTCAGATAATCTATCACAAAATGCAAGCAGCGGCCCGAAAATATTAGGATAGCAGTGTAGATCAACATCACTGAAGCATATTGTCAACCTGTGATAAACCGTGCCCAAACTTCTTTGAGCTTCATAATGTAAAAGAAAACATTTATTGGATGAGACATCTTGCTCACAAAGAATACCACTTGCATTGCTATGTGTAACATCCATGTCATTGTAATGCGCTTGGTTGGCAGAAGATGTATTCCTGGACGAGCACAAAATCTGGCTACTGCCCTCACTGTTTATTGCAGATGTAATGATGTTAAGTGTTTTCATAAAGACAGTGCACTCTTCAATAAAATGTTCAACAACATACCTGTAATTTCCATTCAAATTTAGATGCATTATTAATTTATACGACAAGCCCAAATTGCTACATGTATAAGAGCCACATATATTTGTCTGTACTCTGTAGTAAAGTTAAGTTCTGCATTGAAAGAAAATTACAAGGGAATAGATTGCCAGATGATTGGTAGAACACTATAAACAACTACATAGTCAATAATACTTTTGTCTCTCTTAAACCATAAAAAGATGTCAGCAGCCAAAACCAAAAGAGCGAAAAGCATCATGACTAGATAAATAATCAAAGGGTTTCTATTGATGGCGAAATTGTTAGGTTGTCTTGCTTTGTATTTCTATCAATTCAACAGTTTCAGGCTACAATGTACTAAATCCATCTAATTTCTTTTTAGTCCATCAGCACAACTTCTTGTAATTGTTGTGTCAACTTGAAGTCTTAAACCACAGAGGCACACAGCCAAACATCATTCAAATACATAATGTTTGTTCTCCCCACCCAGTAAGCCCCCTTCAAAAAAATAATAAAGAAAATCTAGAAAAAAAGAGTAGATAGGGATACAATAACACATGTTAAAAAGCACTCTACCAAATGATGGTTCCAGCATTCCTTGGTAGGCATGGACAGTATACAGACCTAACCTTTGCCATTTCATTTTGCACAAAGTGTTGTTGCCAGACTCAAACAAGCATTCTCACAATGTCAGGTTGAGACTTCACTATTGTTCTAAGAAATGGCCTAAAATGTGCAGATATGAATACCAAAAAGTGCATGCAAGAATGTAAAAAGGGTAAAATATTAATTTCCTAAGATCATGGACACTGATATGGATACAAACCATTCAATAGATTTAGAGCATAATTATGTATATAGTTTTTGAAGCCAATTGCTTCCTCAAGATTAATTTTCATATTTTAAAATAGTTAGGATTATAAAGGATGCTTTAGAAGTCTCTAGAAGTGTCTATGTAGTATCTGGTGTCATATAGTGTATGTATCATGCTTGACATTGGTCTCAGCTATCTGTGGTCTTGTGAGGGGTAGACTGGTATCAGAGGTAATGACCCCTAAATAATATATTATATTGTTGTGCCTCATATATTTTTTAAACAAGGGTAATTTTGTGACTCTATTATCTTTCTCTCCTCTTCCTCTTCTTCTGTATTTTCTACTACTATTTTCAAACTGGCAAGGCAATGGAGTACCAAGAAGTAGACACATTGATCATTTCTGTTGAGTCATAAAATTTGATAGCTCTGCTGTGATGACAGCAGTTTCTAAGGTAAGCCTCTAAAATAAGCATTGTTTAAATCAGATTGCTGTTCTTCAAGAATTTATATTAAACAATTCATAAAAATTCGGACTTGCAGAACACCAGTGTATCCTTGTGCAACTAGATGAGCTTTGTATCTAACCAAGGTGTCATCATACTTGAGTTTCACTGAATAAACCCATCTACTACCAATGATAGATGCATCTGGAGGAGGAGAGAGTAGAGACGAGGTCCCAAGTGTCATTTTCCATTACGGCTTGAATTTCTGTGTCCATAATACCTTTCTAATGCTTAACTGCCACGGCTTGTTGATAAGACTTACAGTGGTAGTAGTGGGAGAAGGATGCACAGGCTCTGGTGCTGATGTTGGAGGGAGCATAGACATGGAAGGAACTGGATGCTTCCTGTAATAAACTTGCAACTGTAGAGGACTAAGAAGAGAGGATCATTTGCAGAGCCAAAGTGATGCAAAACAAAGAAGCATGGTGCAGGTAACTTAACACCATGCTCAAAGAACAAAATATGGGAAATGCGAGGATGACGAACTTTGGGATCATAAGAAAGAACCCCTTATGTTCCAGGCTGTAACCCATTAATGCACAGATAGCTGATTGAGTACTTAACTTTGTGTGTTCATGATAGGGAAGATGAATACACAGCTGGGATGGTCGCCTCCACCCAGAGAGTAATAGGGACATGGGAATCATTTAAAAGAGCTCTCATTGTACTAGTAACATGATGGTTCTTGCACTCAGCCAGAGAAAATCAGAGAGCAACCTGCTCTGATACCACATTAAGCTAGAAATTGAGAGAGACGAGAGAAAATACAAAGAACACCAAGTCTGTTCAGTTGGTTCTAATCTGTCAACCCAACCCAAAAAACCTAACTTAATATTAAAGGAAATAAAAGTACAATACTGCCCTTACATAAGAAAGTAAAATACAATAAGGTACGGGGATGTCTAGCATATATACTACATTAATATTATATAATAGAGAAGTACAAAAACAAAGTTACCCCTTTTCTCTACAAAGATAAACTTACATTCATAAAAGTGACAAATTAACAAATGGCTTACGAGGCAAAATTTCTAGGGTAGGCCTGACATAATGATTACTCACCCCACTACAAATCTTCCCATTATTTTCACTCTGGACACTCCAACAATGTCACATTTGATAAAATATCAAAATGCAGTGTACATTGAACTATAGTAATTCAGGGGCACTATGAAGTGGCATTTCTAGTTAGCACCAAGTCACAACCAATTTCCTTAAGTCAACAAATGACACAGGATTCTTTTTCCTTTCACAGTAAGGAATCTCCACAATCATTTCCCCAACAGCATTATATTTTTATCCCGCAATCACCTCAAACCTAGACCCCTTCTTACCATTCTCCAATTTGTTAGGGTGTACATTTTTCCTCATAACATGGCTCTCATGGGAAATTCTTGAAATCTCTTCAATTCTCACCTTAACTGGATCCCTAAAGATTGAAACAATGTAGACCAGGATTAAGAAGGTTCAAAATATGGATCCCAATGAAATATTCCAAGTTCTCAACTTGCTTGAGAATCTTTCAACAAGTGCGATGTGGAAAGTGATTCAGGATGAGGATCTAGGTGAACACAAGTACAACACAAACTTGTGAAAGGAGTTGGAAACTATACTCATATTTAAAATCAACAAAAAAAAGTTTTGAAGGGGAAACAAAGGCAATATGAACTTCACAATCACATAAAAGACAGTAAACAAGAAATATTGTTACTACAACATCGGCTATTCCTAATAGTCCTAGTAGTACCAACTACAAAGACATTAATAATTGCTAGGAATAAGATGGAATGGTTCAGCTACCTCTAACCACTTTTGAGTCTCCTTCAACTTCCAGGTTTCTAAAATTGGACTGCTTAGCAATTTATAAGCCTTGTAACAACGCCATCAGTTCAGCTTTTAATGAGTCCCCTTCTCCTGTAGGTCCTGCATACATAGCCAGCAATTTACTTGAGGAATCTCTAAACACACCACCAATACTTGCCATCCTTGGGTTTCCCATTGAACTCCCATCAAAATTTAACTTTATCTTATCTCTTGTTGGTGGCTTCCATTCCATCATCTCTCTTTCCTTTTGTTTTGAAGAGTGTGCCACCTCATTCCAAGCCCTTAGTATATCAATTGTTGTAAAACATTGAAAGATGTCAAGGGTTTTTATCCAATGAGCCACTTTAATTTTTATTAGTTCCACCAACTCCTCCTTTGACCTGAGCTTCTCATTAAACATTCTTGCATTCCTCTCTTCCCAAATGGGCCACACCATAGTAGCTCTAACTTCCTTCCACAATGTTCTTCCTCTTTTTTTTGGTTGTCTTAGGAAATTTGGGCTCAAAAGACTCACTACATCCTGAGGATCTACCCACCTGCAACCAAAAAGAGAACAAAAACTCCCAAATAAACACCACAAAGGGACAAGAGATTAGTAAGTGGGGTAAGGATTCACTATTTGCAAAACAAAGAAAGCACACATGTGAGGAAAGACATATATTCAGCCTCCTTTTTGGAAGCAAATCACAGCTGTTCACCTTTCCATGAAAAAACTCCTAGCACGATGCTTGAACTTTAAGGTGATATGGGCTTACTCCAACTTTCTTTCACCAAGAAATTCTCTCCCACCTCTAATGGTTGAAAAAGTGAATTGAAAAATGAGGCACAAGTTAAAATACCACCGGGGGAGGTAACCCAGATTCTAGTGTCCTCCATGATTTGAACCAAGAAAACCGACTGGAGTTTATCCAATAACTGAATAAGGGTCTCACACTCACTATCTCTCAGCCCCCTTCTAAAGCCAAAATCGAAACTCACACCTAGAGAAGAGAAAGTGACAAATCTCAAAATTGGTTGGTACATGTGGTCAGACACTGAATAAAGGCTGGACAAAGGAAACTAAGAGGAGCATCAACCAGCCAAGTGTCTTCCCAAAAGAGAACACTTGAACCAAACCCCACATCATGCCAAATAAAATTAATAAAGGTTGGGTATACCTTTTATCTTCTTGCAATGTTCGCAGACTAAATTTTTTGAGTCAACCCCAGGAGAACCAAGCATCACACTTCTCCTGCACTCCTCACTATTCTAATGAGTAAGCTTGCACCAAAGTGACATCCTTAATGAGTAAGCCTATCACCATAGGCTTCAGTATCTTCAGCATACAGTTGCCACAATCCCTGAAGAGTAGAAAAATATAACAACAGAGGAATATTTCCTTTCCTCAAACTATTCACCTGTATCTTCAGCTGGTAAGCCCTTCCTACATCTAATGGCTGAGAATAAGTGGCATAGATTATATCCCAGATCTTCTTGGCTGCATCCAGAAACATGTAATTCTTACTAATGTGTGGTTGCATTGAATTAAGTGGCCACAACATCACCATGTAATTCTCCTAAATCCATCATGCATGAGAAGCATTCTTTGAATCAGGTTCCCTGCTGTCTCCTGTAAGTATCCCAGTTTACCGCGACCACCAACTCCAATCTTCACAAATTGGGCCAGCTGCAAATAGTTTGATCCAACCAGTCTCACAGCAGTGATGGTGTTGTTTTGAAGGTCAACTACACTTTCCATTGGGCTCCAGCTATCATTGCCTGCCTTTTTTCCTAAGAAATATCTATACCTTTTCAAACACACAAGAATACCCTAAGCACCTTAACTTACACTTCCCAAAAGAAAACAGCCCTAAGAACCAAACCTAGTAGTCTTCCCAAAAGTAGACTACCAACCTGGAAACCACCAGAATGCTGAAACAATATTGGAGGATTGCTTAGAACAGTCCAGAAACACTTGCTATCAAGATCGATCTCTAATCCATCCCTAATCACTACACTACTTCCTAGCAGCTCCAGATATATGATAAAACACTTGTATGAAAGTACACACACAACAGAATCACCTTCTCTCACTGATTCCACCTGTTTTCTAGGCTAATTTCCAAGACCATAGCTTGGGCAGTAATATCCCCTAAAAGAATCCAAGAATCAGACCAAAAATAAAAGTTGACCAGCCCCTACCATCATCTCATGCATATAGTTGATCCTAGACCCACATGAGGACTACTTCAAAATTGCTTAAGATAGCTTTGATACTAAGTTGTAAGTTGGAAACCTCAATAATAAAACAGCAAAAATAAGGTTTAGAAGCTGTAGGAAGAAGAAAAAGAAAAGAATGAGAAAGAAGAGAGAAACTGGTTGGGAGGCCAAAAAAATGAGCACCTGCCCCTAACACTTTATTTTATACTTATTACTAATTACAATAGTTTTACCAAAACACCCCTGCCACCTAATTAGGTGTAGTCGTCACTAATAATAAACAAAAAAGAAGACTAAAGGCTCATTAATGTAAAGGCCCAACAACTAAACGGAATAAGTAAAGTGACTAAATAATACTTAAGACACATAAGGCCCATTTTGGCCCAACACATATACATATCTTCCATACAAATAGCCCACAAACTCAACAATCAGCATTTGCTTGGACAAATACAATGACATGAAAAACAAAATCAAACAAACAGTAGAAAGATAAGATACAGATGAAAGAACTATGCAGACAGAACATACTGAATCTCCAATTCCCCTAAAGCAAACTTGAGGACCAAATTATTTTCTACATTATCTGACATGCCGACAAGGAAAGTAACCAGCTCAAAATTAGCAGCAACAGAGAATTGATAAACATCAGCATTCCTTTGTTTTCCTGACTTCACATCAAGGATATCGGGCCTTCGTGCTATCATCATCTGTGATTTTTGTTCAGGGAGATCCAAACAAGCAAGAAAACCCAAAACCACACCATATATTAATGGTGAGAAATGTATATTAAGTGATGACACCAAAAACTTAACCTGAAACAGGGAAAGTAACAAGACAGCGTGGGTAAGTATAAAACCAATTAGAATTGAATAAATAGATCTCAAATGAAATTCACATGAAAATCCAGAGAGAACTATAGTTACTGCATGTTGACTATAACATTTTGAGTCCAAAAACATATAAAAATAATCCTGCATATGATCAACTTAAATTCCAACATCAATACTTTAATTTCACAATTATAGAAACAAAATGTAGTGAATGAGTTTTAACATAGAGTTACACTTAAAATTATGTGTTGTGGGATGCCAACCATGACAAGATTACACAGATGGAATTGAAAATAAACCCCAATCATACTTTATTGATAAGCTGATAGAATGCTTTCTATGACCAAATCGGGAAACCAAGACTGTTGTAGTGGGAAAAAGTATCAAATTCTGAATATCAGGCATGTAGCCAACAAATGCATGTATGTGAGAAAATTCTCAGATATGCTGAAACTGACACAAGGATCCAAAATTAGTAGCAGAGGACTGATCATATGAAGGAGAAGCTAGCTGCACTGAAAGCATCAACCAAGCAAGTAAATTACACCCATTGAATAAAAAATGTGCACATAGTAACCAACCTTAAATATAAGCTGATACTCATTACATGCTGATGCCAATACATCTTGTTTTATGCAAGAAAACATAACAAATCCAAATATAGTCAATTAAGCAAGTAGAAAAAAAAAAAAGAATAACTAGTTCCTTTTTAAAAGTTCCTACACTTCATCAATGACATCTCTCAACACAAATTAAGAACAGTGTTCATTACTAAATAAAGCTTGAGTCCTTAAATCAAAACACCTGTAACTGTTTCAAGGCTGACTCATCAGGAATAATGCAAGATTCCAAGATAATGGAAGTGTTAGCTCTCTCAAAAAGGGAGACTTCTTGGCAACGATCTGCCAGAACTATCTTCACCTGCAAAATATCAGTTTCAGCCATATTATTGCAAGTTGAAAACAGTAAATTGAGCAAAAGAAATAATAACACTGACCTCAAAATTGTTCAACAAAATTTCAAAGTGGTCATAGATATCATGAATTTGGACATCAAATGATTTGTCACTTGTTGAAGATAAACTTTTGAACAAATTTCCATCTTGGTCTACACTGTCTGAAATCGAACCCGCCAGAAGTCTTGATCTTAACATGACAGCACCAAGTCCAAAAACCTGCCACATATAGCAGATTAGATATACAAGAAATATGAAGTAGGAAGAAACAACAAGTCATGTAGTATATATAATAGGTAATGATGTTTTATTAAAAAATACAGGACATATACAGAAGAAAAGGAGGAGAAAGAGAAGTAAAACAGAACAAACGAGCCAAAAACACAACAACCTCCACAACCATACCAATAAACACCATATACACAGAACCAATTATGACAAAAAAAAAAAGAATGCAAAAGCAACATCATAAAACAACAAAACAAAACAAAAGCCCAGTAAGAACTAAAAATCCATAACCAAGGATATCCACAAACCAATCAGCAGTTTAGCCAACAAACCAACTTATAAGAATCTTTCAGCCATTATAAAGTAGAAACCAAATGAGCCTTGGGTCAACTCAATGTATTCAAACTTCAAACAAAAAGTAGAAACTTTCTTTTCAAAATGGGACACTTAAACTCTCTAGCTGACTAGCTCTACTAATATAAGAAACAGCAAATTTCTGAAAATAGTAAGTTGACTTTTACAATAAATAGTAATTATGTTATAACAATTATGATAAATAGAAATTATGGTCACAGGTGGAGATTACCTATTTAGATTGGAAGTCTCTTTGACCCAACGACTTTCAGTTGGCCAAAGAGAAGGGGTAAAATTTTGTGGAGACGTTTCAGGGCTGCATTGATTTGGACGGTGTAGGAGGAAAGGAATGGTAGAGTGTCCAACGATAAAGAAAGAAGGAAGCAGTGCTGGAATGCATATTATATAGAGCTATAATGTGTGCCAAGTCCCTAAATTTATTTTCTGATTTCTCATTTGATGATGTTTGCTGAAATAGAGCTGTCGAATGAGAGGAGAAGAAGAAGAAGAAGATATGAGATGGGCGGCAGAAGTGTTCTCAGCCAGCCCTAATCTATTATATATAAGAACATTACATAATGTTGCATAAATAGACCAGAATGCCCCTGATTAGTGATGGGACACCTAGTCAAAATAAACACTAAATAAGATTAGGCCCAGTAACTAAGG